CAAGAAATGTGTTGAGATCTTTCATGTATATATGCAAATTTAGGAGTGTATGTTTGTAAATTAGTTCGAGTGGGTTCATGTACGGCACTCAAACCAAGAATGTTGGAAACCCAATTGACCAAAACACTAAACTGATTTGTGTATTGTGTGTGAGTGCAGAACATACAAGGATTAATGTGAGAAAGGGAAACCAAAAAACTAACAATAAACATTGTATAGAAATGTTTTAGAATATCTAGCATTTCTGTTTAATTTGGATTTTTTTGGTTTTCTGTGTTTAGTTAGTTTATCGATAAGATTTGGAATACAGTTAGAAAAGTTATGCATATGTTTTATTGAATTTTATTATCATTTGTTTGGCTTATTTGCAATTGTTGGATAAAACAAACTGAGGTCTATGACTGTACAAAATCAATGTCTATTACAACAGCTTTTATCCGCACATCTTCTTTACAATAAATCTCGCATACTCCAAACGTTATGAACTTTCTTCTGATAACATGTTTTAAGTATAATTTAGCTGTTTACGTTTATTAATTTCTTTGAGACAATAAAACTTACAGTTAATTTATTAGTAGATGTTTTGGCCCGCGTAAAACGCGGACAGCACACCTAATTCTATTATAAATCGAATTTGAGTTATCACAGTTTAGTTGTAGGTTAAGATCACAAAATATTAAGTAAATTACAATATCTTGTATGTTTGGAGTATCATAAAAATTATTAGATTAATTAAATAATCAATGCTTTCTATTTCACAGGTACTAGGTTACTACCCGTGCTATAGCACGGGACTAAAATATTTATCAGAATAATTCTTTTAATTAATTTTATTATATATATAATGTTTTAGTGGATTAAAAATATAAAATGACTTAAAATAAAAACCTAATTATGAAATTTTGGGGGTGGTATCCCATTTTTTCCGTATGGGTCTTAAATTTTTTTAACATTCCTTTTTCTTTTCAAAAACAATTATTCATTTGAAATCATTTATTTTATTAAAACAAGTAGGAGAAAAGCACAGAAAGGAAATATGTATGAAATCAGATATATGGATTACCTATTATATTTTCTCAATTTATCTGAAATTAGCTGAATAATATTCCAAGTTTTCTCAAAATTAGCTGAATAATATGTTTCGAAGTTAGAATTTATCCAAATTATTTAGAGTTTGAAAAAAGATTTCAGGTAAGAGATTTTATTGAAATTGTCTCATTATTAAAATTTATCGTCATGTTCTTATAATTTTTTTTAATTCCAAAAAAATTTAGAGTTATCAAAACCTATGCTATACTAAAATCAAAACTTATATTTAAAAAAAAACATTTTTAAAAAGATTCAATGCATGTGCATATTTTAATTATTTATTTCTTAAATAAAAATTAAAATCATAATATTTTGGTCCCATGATAACGATGTGTTCATACATATTTCAATGCAAATAATTATTTTTTTAATTGAGTTTAAGTAGATCGATATATGCTTATAAAATTTGTAATGTTTTTGTTAACAACGGTATTGTATTTTATGAAATATATTTTTTACTAATCATATTATTTTCTAGTTATTAATAGTTTTATTAATGATGTTAATACATAATGTATATTTCTCAAATAAAAATAGTTTATTTTAATTTTTATTGAAGCACCATTAATGTTAATAGTAGTTCATACTATTATTAATCTATGTTGTTGATTATATGATGAGTTTTAATGTATAACATGTTTTTTATATTATTTTATGTATGTTGGTTTTTTCGTTTACCTAAATATAAAAAAATTATCTTGACATGCATGGGAATACACAAAATTTTGTAATTTTCGGTTAAAAACGTGAATAAAAAATTTTGCCTTACAATTACATGTGGAAAACATGATTCTAAACCTCCCACCCTTCTACTAAAGATGAAATTAAATAAATATATGAAGAAAAGTTTCTAAATATTTAAAGAAAATCTTCAAAATATGAGTTACTACATTTTTTTAATTTAGTTTCTCATTGGGTGAAAATATTATTTTGTAAGTAGGAATGATTTAATTAGTTATATTCGTCTAAAATTTTAAAATTCCACCCACTAATACTTTTTTTTTATATTAGCCAGGGTATCCAAAGATTTATTTGTTTAGTTATTAAATACTTCATATCTTCTTGATGTTAGTTAGGATATATTTTTCATTTATAGCAAAAGATGTAAATAATTATAATATTCCATATATTTACATCTTAACTCTTATCCTAGTAAGTACTAATCATAACTAACAAAAGTTTGAATACATATGATTTTAAGGTAGTAGTGTTTTACGGATTTAGATTGATAATGTGATAACTTAGAAAAATATTTAAAGAAAATCTTCAAAATATGAATTACTACATTTTTTAATTTAGTTTCTGATTGGGTGAAAATATTATTTTGTAAGTAGGAATGATTTAATTAGTTATATTCGTCTAAAATTTTAAAATTCCACCCACTAATACTTTTTTTTATATTAGCCAGGGTATCCAAAGATTTATTTGTTTAGTTATTAAATACTTCATATCTTCTTGATGTTAGTTAGAATATATTTTTCATTTATAGCAAAAAATGTAAATAATTATAATATTCCATATATTTTTACATCTTAACTCTTATCCTAGTAAGTACTAATCATAACTAACAAAAGTTTGAATACATATGATTTTAAGGTAGTAGTGTTTTACGGATTTAGATTGATAATGTGATAACTTAGAAAAATACAAAAAGCTATGTTCCAATTTGTTCTTTTGGTTTAGATTGTTAGAGAAAAGAAAAACTAATTTTTTAGTTTCGATTTACTAATATTTTTTAGGTTCAAATTGAAGTGAAACCAAATTACATATGTCGCATGATTCTTTGACCTAAAAAATATCCAAATACATTTTTTATATTCAAATTTACTTTGTAATTATACAAACAAAATTTTGAAGTAATAACACAAAAATAAAGAAGTTTATACAAATATAAGAGTGAAAGACTTCAAAGTCTGATATTTCTGAAATCCAACAAAGCATTCTCAACACAGCAGACTTTAATGTTTGATACTTTTGATGAATTTAAGAGACTTTTATAAAAACTGTAATTTAAATAGAAATATCATTATCAAAGGAATTATCATTCCATCAGCGAATCTTTGACCAATATATTGAGATTCACAAACTTATTAACCACGAAGGAGTTCACAGAGATGACTTGAAGTGAAGCCATGTGATTCTAAGCGGAATATTCGACGTGATTTTATGTGACTTCTTTGCCACTTCGAGTCTTTGCCATTTGTATGGCTTTTTTCATTGTCCATTGTCCATAGTGACCATAATTTCAGGACAATCGAGAGAACATCCCTACAAATTTGGGAAAAGTGTTTATGTGTTGTTAGACTCTTTCTGATACACCAAACCTTTTTGTCTCAGATTAAAGGAAATCGAAAAAAAAACCCATAATGGCTAATTTAAGTTCATTTAAAACAATATTTATTAAAAATTATACATGTCGAATATAATACCTGAATATAAGACCTGAGTTTTTGTGAGTGAATGAGTCTCAAATGCTCAAACTTTATTTTTACAAAACAATATTTTTTGTGGAGCACCTTCATACTATGCAAAACATAAGCAAAATAAGAAACAATATATTTTTTTTTAACAAAACAAAAAAAACTTTGAAATTAACAATAATGCAATCATAAAACACATCAAGAAAACATACAACTGAATGAGATTATACTCTTGAAAAAGAAAGTATCATATCGGTACAAAGATTTGAGATTATAAGTTTTCAAAGTAAACAGGTTAGTTAATATCAAAATGTGATTATTAAACATTCAATATAAAATATGCAAAAGATATATGATACGATTTAGTAATAGAAATCTATATCTAACCTTTGAATCATAGAGAATAAATAACTTCATTGTTTCTCTACCTTTTGGTTACATCCACATTCTACACGTAAAGGAATAATAATGTTACATTACTGAAATAAGAAATAATAAGTAATAATACATGGTTCTTAAGTATGTAGATGAATTTTTTGTGAAATCTATAAAATTATGAAGAAGATCATTGAGTGATGATTGTGAGATGGATGCTCTCTATAATATAGACTACTAAAGAATTAGGGTAACTGATTTGGTTTGTGAGCGGCATTTTTGTTAAGATTTGGAACAAAGATTTCAAAATATTGTGTCTTGTAATGCAATAGAGATCTGATTTGTTTGTAGTTGAGATTTGGATATTTACTTGCTGAAACTGTTTCTATTATGATATATAATTTATACAATACTTTAGAAATCGTTCCTACAATTTAGGATACAACACGAAAGAGTAAATATTTGAAATGATTCGGTACTGATATTTTGTTGAATTTTGCCTTGGATTTGCGATTTTGTTAAGATTTATAAGGTTATTATAGAATATAATTTTGATAGAATATCCAAGATTTGCGATCGTAATATTCATTTTCCTCAATTTGTGTATAACAGGTGAAGAAGATGGATGGCATAATAAATCCGAGATTTACTAAATATTGGCGCGTTGAGATCCAATTATAAAGTTCCGCTACTTTAATATATTCAGAATGATCAAACCGATCAAAGTTATTAAACCGAGCAGGATTTTAGATCATTTGGAACCGGTTTGATATAAGTTATTCAGATCCGCGAGTTTTGTTTTGGAATCGGGTCGGAAGTAAGTGAGTTATTATTTGAATAATTCGTTTTCTTTTTTACAGTTTTAATAAATGATTATTTAAAGAAAATTTGAAAAATAGAAAACAATTAAAATCTAAAAAAAAGGAGGTAATGACACATCAGCCTGGAATGCTTCCTGTTTAATAATAGTTAGATGCTAAATCTGGATTGAATTTATGATACAATCATACTGACGATGACACAAGCCGAGCAGATGATGACGACGGCTTAGAACCACCTCGACCTGATCCAAACCCTAACATACATATCAAGCGAATACGATAAAACTCCACCAGCAGCCAAAACCCGAACCCAATCGAGCCGGAAACTAACCTTAAGCTACCGGAAACGATCAAAATCGGTAAAAGAATAACCTTCCAAGGTTTAGAGGCGACGTCGTCGGCTTTACACGAAGATTATGATTTCAAGGATTTAAAAGCCACCGTGAGATGAGAAGACCCAAACGCGGATCTCTATACGTTCGTCGGCACTTTACATTTGGAAGAACAGAGATTTCCATTGTCGATTCAACAGCTTCTTCTTCGAGATTCCAAGCTTAGAAACACAGAGTATGTTTACGGAGCTGTTGTCTTCACTGGACACGACACAAAGGTGCAAACTTTAACATCTGTTTCTCACTTTTAAAAATAAATGATCTCAAAAGTGTTGAATTCATTTTGACAAAATTTGAAACAGGTGATTCGAAATTCAACCGATCATCCGTCGAAGAGAAGTAGAATCGAGAGAAAAATGGACAAAATCATCTACATGACGTTCGGTGTTGTGTTTTGATGTTGTTCATTGGCTCCATCATCTTCAGTATCGAGACAGGAGAGGATATAGAGAGAAACAGACGATGGTACCTAAAACCAGAAGATGCGGAGATCTTCTTTGATCCAGAAAGAGCTCCAATGGCTGCCATTTACCATGTCTTCACAGCGGTCATGCTCTACAGTTACTTCATCCCTATCTTGCTTTACGTCTCTATCGAAATCGTGAAAGTTCTTCAGAGTATTTTCATCAACAACGACATTATATGTACTACGAGGAAACAGATAAACCTGCGCACGCAAGAATGTCTAATCTCAACAAAGAGCTCGGGATGGTCGACACGATTCTATCCAATAAAACCGGAACCTTGACCTGCAACTCCATGGAGTTTATTAAGTGTTCTATCGCGGGGACTGCTTATGGACGCGGTATAACCGAAGCTGAAAGATCTATGGTTATGAGAAGCGGCGGTTCGACTTTGGTTGATGATGATTTGGATGTTGTGGTTGACCGGTCTGGTCCTAAGGTCAAAGGGTTTAACTTCGAGGACGAGAGAGTTATGAAAGGGATTGGGTTAAGCAGCGAGAAGCAGCTGTTTTTCTTCATCGCTTATTGACTCTTTCTTTATATATAGAGACAACATAATCCTAAAGGTGTATCTAAGCTCCTCAACATAATCCTAAAGGTGATAAACTAATTTTGGTTTAACATATTAACCAAAACAGATTTTGATATAGTGATATTCAAAAATTTTGTTAATATATTCGGTCACTAAAATTATAGAATAAGCTTGGCAAATAATATAATAAATATAAATTTAATTGATTAGGTAGCCTAATATTTTTGATTATACAAACAAATCATAGAAAGGTAATAATTTTTTGGCCATTACAAAAAAATGATTAGGTAGCCTAAGGATTATATAAATATATTTGTCATTACAAAATAATTACTCTATGTGATAAGTCAAAACATCATTATTTGAAAATGATAATAAATAAAAAAATTATTTTCCACTCTCATGATGAGCTAAAATTTAATAAATACATTTATACTAAAAATAAACAAAAAGAATTAGAGAAAATAAGAAGAATAAGAACAGAAAAAGGAAAAGGAACAAGAAAAATAAAAACATACAACTAACTACTATATACGTTTATTTATATAACTGAAGTATAAAAAAAATAAGATGTGCAAAATTATATCATTTTTTCAATTAAATTGCCAAACAGATAAATGTATAATTTGGGTTTGGAAAACAATAATAAAGTAATAATAAAAGAAAAAAGCATAGAAGATGAAGAAGAAAAAGAACGCAGGAGAGGAGAAGAGCATAGAAATATAAGAAAAGAAAAAAGATGAAAGAGAAAAAAACAGAAAAAAAAGAAGAACATACATAAAAAAGAGGAAGAATAGAGAAGAAGAAGAAGAAGAAGAAGAACGGAAAAAAAAAAGAAGGAGAAAAGGAACAAAATATAAGAAGGACGTAGAGAAAGAAGAAGAATGCAGAAAAAAAGAATGGTGAAAAAGAGGAGGAAGAAGAAAAACAAAGAAGAAAAAGAGGGAGGAGAAGAACGGAGAAGGAGAAAAAAAAATAGGAAGAAGAAGAATAGAAAAAAAAAAGAAAAAAAGAAAAACGAAAAAAAATAACAGATAATAGGAAGGGAGAAGGAGAAAAAGAAGAAAAAAAACTAAATATAATATTAAAAACATAAAATTCATATAAACTAACAACATATTATCATATTTTACAATAACAATTCGCGTGTTTACGATATTAAATTAGTTGCATGTAATTTATATTATGTTATTTTTAATTTTATATTTTTATTTATAAAATTTAATTTTAATCTTCATAACACATAAATAAATGATATATTATTAATATAACTATAATTTTTTTTGGTAAAGAGGGGGGGGAGGGGCAAGTGATTTTATTCAAAACATAAAAATCAGCTTCACACAAACTCTTCTTGGGTGGCAGAACCGATCGTATCATCACTCAAAATTGAAACTAAACTAGGTGGAACCGAATCTAAAAACTGGATACCTAGAAGAAGAAAAAAATATAGATAGTTAATCTATCAGCAAGACAATTAGTTTTTCTATACACATGTGAAAAACAGATTATTCATTCTCTCAAAATAGAGCCATGATACATACATACCATAAAACTGACTATCTTATAACATAATATATAATAAACCCATTTATACTACATAATTTAAACATTTATAAAATTTACTTCAAAAATTATATAAAGTAAAACCTCTATAAATTAATAATATTTGGACTTAAAATTTTATTAATTTATAGAGTTATTAATTAATTTATAAATTAATATTTATTAATTAATCGATAAATTAATAATTATTAATTTATCGATAAATTAACATTTTATTAATTTATCGATAAATTAATATTTTATTAATTTATAGAGATATTTTGAGTTTGAATTTTTTAATATATATCAAAAAAAACAAAATCAATATTTTCAACAATGTAAAATTCATTCAAAAAATGTCATAATAATTAATTTAGAAGATAAATCAAACAAATTTTATAAACTTGAAATAATAATATTATCATAGTTTACTATATTATATTATTAATATATACCTAAATGTATAATTATTAATTTATATTACTATTGGGACCATTACATAGAATTTTCAAAAAAATTATTATCATATTATCTTATCAAATTTTGTCAATTTTTACACTTATCCGACTTGAGACCGGTAAAAATTATTAATTTATAGTGATTATTAATTTATCGAGTATTAATTTATAGATGTTCAATTGTATCTGCGTGGACGCGCATGTCCAAAATCTAGTACATATTTAGAATATCCTTCAGTTTATGGGAATATCCAAATTTTTCATGATTTGATAGTCACATCTAATAATTGTGATACTATAACCGTGATTTTCTGTGTTTTCCTTTTTTAAACTCATGATTTTATTGTTTGATTTGTGTGTTGGGTTTTTCAAAATTGATGAATGATTTTGTTTTATAACGGAGATAATGATAAACCAATTAAGTTAGTATGATTTGAATCCGGGTAAGAGACATTGTAGATTCGAACTGATAAACTGAAAACTCACATAATATGTTTAAGATTTCATTGTTCTAAATAATTTAACCACTTACTTCCAGTTATGATATTGTGGTAGGCTAATATTATTTCATATTTAATTTTCTATACGCAGTTACGTAAATCTTAACTATTATTTGAGAATCATGCTTAATGAAAAAACACCTTAGCAAATGTTAGTGTAAATTAATTGTGACATGGAATTGTGACATGGCAAATTTCCTAAAATAAACTGAATGTTTTGTGACAACCAATATATATTTTAAATTTTTAAATAGAAAAAATATAATAGATTATCCAATAAGATAGTATATACACTATATATTAATAATATTGGGAGTATGATATATTATTATTTGTATATAATTTTTAACATTTTTATATTATTGTTTTCTGGAATTTGTATAACTTGCCTTACATTACTATTTCATTTTATCTCTTATCCTTTTTCAAAAAATAAATTAAAAGTTTATATCATAGTCATACTCATATATACAGTCTCATTGTTGATCGAGAATTTTGAGATCAGAATTAAAACGCAATTTAACCGGATGAAAAAATAAATTATAAATAAGAAAAAACAAATATGAATAAAAGTAGAAGTAAAAAAAAACGTCTCTGTAGTTTTGTTTTTCCGTAACACTTTCAAATTTTGTTTTATAGAGTCCTTTAAAAATATTAAGAAATAAATTTTATAATAAACGCATGTGTGGCTCAAATTTTATAATGAACACATGCGTACAGACCAACCATAAGAAATTTATTTTCTTCATCATCAATATTGGACAATGAGATGAGTAGAGAGCTACCAGAGAATTTTATAAAATATGATTTTACAAATTTTATAACAAATATTTATTATAAATTTTATTTGATATAAATAAACATATGAATAAGAAGTAGAAGTAAAAGTAAAAATAAACTTTTATGACTTTGATTTTCTGTTAAACTCTCAGGCTATGCCTTTGGTTTAAAATACATCTAACCCACATTTCTTATAAATCTTCTAATTTTGAGGAAAAATAACGATGTTATTTTTTCTTCTATAATTGGAGGAAAAAGTAATAATCTTTCTTTTTCTATTAAAATAGAAATAGGTTAGAGAGAAATCCACTTATATTTTAGAGGAAAAAAATAGAAAAATACATTGGAGATGATCATAATGTTTAATATATTATTCAAAGTTAAGAAAAAAATATGAGTCAAAGAAGACAAAAAAAGAATAATTTTGATCGATTTTATGTTTTTATTTTGAAATATTTAAAAAATTATCTTACACATATTAATTCTTTCATACATATATATTTTTTTCAACATCTCAAAATATTATTTAATAAATCAAGTTTTGTATATGTTATGATACATTATATATAAGATTAACACATATATCAAAATTAGGAACAGAAGAACTCTTATTTTGTAAACTAACAATTAAATATTAAATATATTATTTTACACTTTCAACCATACATATATAAGTTTAGGATCCAGCTGGTTTAAACGCTACAGTTACATAGAGTTTGTGAAAACGAGCGATTGCGGGCTATAAATAATTTGATGAAGAGGTGATCGGAGAGCTACCAGAGACTTTTATAAAATAAGAATTCACAAATTTTATAATAAATCTTTATTATAATTTTGATTGAGAAACCATATATCATAAAATACTGGAAAATAAGAAATTTTGATTAAATACAAAACGTTAGAAACGGTTTTCGTGATTGTAGTTAAACGCCAAAAAACTGTGTTGTGTAAAATCATAATGTTTACGGAAAATATCAGAAAAACTAACCAACACCTAAATATTACAATTAACCTATTTATAACTCATACTTACATGCGTAATATACATATTTTTTATAAAAAAAATCAATCATACATTATAGAAATATATATTACAAAACATATATTTTGTTATTTTCTTTTAACACATAAAATCCATACTCCAACTTTTTCACAAATATGCAGGTAGATATAAATATTAATTGTTCAAAAATTAAAGTCACGTGCAAATTTGTCGTGTATGCATTTTCTTAACCCCTCGATTACAGTCCAATTTTAATTTTAGTTATTAGTCAATTTGTATTTATTAAAAAAATATTTATATATGTCCTAAGAGCGGTGAGGTGGTTGGTACCCACGAATGTGCAGACCAACCATCTATCCAGTCTTAAGATAAGTAGTAATGGTAAAACCTATTTTGGTTTACTTAGCAATAGTTCAAGAAAAAAGATATACTTAAAATATATATATTGACAAGATTATATTATGCAAATGGAAAAATAAATATAATATAGATAATATTCAAAATATATTATAAGAATTTAATTATTATTTAATATAACTTTTACATATATTATATGTTACTCTAAACGTTAGAAAAAACAAAAAGATTTCAAAAGACACAAAACGATATGAAACGTTTGTGTGATTGTTGTTAAACACTAAAACTGTATATGTAAAAAAACGTAATGCTTACATAATAAGTTTTCTAAAGACACAAAATTATATGAAA